CCCTATTGCTCTGCCCTACTCCTGTCTGCCCTACAGACTTGCACCCTGTTTAATTTATTGACAGAAATAAATGCAAATGTTGCATTAATCAAATGTGTATATCATAAGTATTCTTTCAGTATTGCCTGAACTTTGAAATCCTGAACCTAAGAGTTTTAACATTGAGTTACTATTCAAAATTTTAAAAAGAATGTATGTTCTTTCCTCTTGCACTTCTTGGCCAGAATAACCTGCCTAGGTCCTTGAAAGCTAAAAGAGAGATACATGGTGACACATTCTTAGTCAATGTGGCCAATCTAGCAAGTTCTGTCACTCAAAGAGAATTTTCCCAGCCTGAAGGACAACAACTGCTTTGGGACCATGATCATGCCAAATACTGAACTTAAACCTGTGAAGGAATTCTTGAATAAGGATGTTGTCTATTTTTCACATATGAAAACCAGTGATATCAGTATCTATGGGTCAAAGAAATGAGTGTATATTTCCCAAACTAACTCTTCACTCAGACTAACTCCTAGCTCAGAGTGGTACTTTTTCTCCTCCTCCTCCTCCTCCTCCTCCTCCTCTTCCTCCTCATCCTCTTCTTTTTTTTTTTTTATATTGGGGGTTGAACCCAGGTATTTGTGACTGAGATATATCCCCATCCCTTTTTATTTTTTGAGACAGGGTCTCACTAAGTTGCTGTGGCCGGCCTGGAACTAGGGATCCTCCTGCCTCAGCATCCCAGGTTACCAATTACAGCATGTACCACCATGCCTGGACAGAGGGATACACTCCAACCAAGAAGATCAATCCTTCCTCCATTGCAGCAGACAGGTACACTCAGTGAGAGCCTACTCTCATCCCTGTGATATCCAGGATACTGCAAGGGAAAGACTAATCTTGCCTTTTGGCACCAAGAGATGGGAACTTCCCATATGGTCTGCATCACTGGATTATATCAGGACAAATCTTTCATTAAATCTGGAAAAGACAAAAGGTAAACATAAGATAAAAGTGTGATTAGGTCATCGCCAAATTATTCTGCTAACTTAATAAGTAAAATCAAGATCATGGGATGATAACCAAGGAAAGTTAGGTAAACTACTAAAACTATCACATCTCATTTAATCACAGTTCAGAGTTCCCTAATTTCTGTTGAAGTTATTTTTTACTAATCACCTATTTGTGGAAAAAAACTAGAGAACTCATTAGGAAGGGTCCATTCATGCATTTATATTGGAACAAAAAGGAATTACAAACCATTCCAGCTCAGAGACAGAGACAGAGAGAGAGAGAGAGAGAGAGAGAGAGAGAGGAGGGAGGGCTTTCAAAAGCACAATGAAGTAGCAGCTCAAAGGAAGCACTCTGAAGGCATAGGGTGTCATACTTCAAGATGTAATGTGTTTATAAGAGACTTCTAAATGATACTTTACTCTAGAAAGATACATGGATCCAGCAAACAAAGGGTAGAAGTAGGAGAGGTTTCACTTACCATCACCTCAATTGACCCACTGAGAAATACTGTGCTTTTATTTCTGTACCTCTGAGTTCAGCAGGGTTAAAGGTCGAGATCCCCAAAGAGGATGTACCCTTGCCAAGTGATATGGCAAAGGTCCCACTGAACTGCAAGCTACATCTGCTATCAGAACACTTTGGACTTCTATTGTCTAAGGACCAGCAGATGAGAATAGGAGTCACCGAGTTGTCACAGCTAAATAACCCTGATTAGCAGGAAGAGATACGGTTGCTTTTATGCAATGCAGGAAGAGAAGAATACATGTAGAGCCCAGATGATATATATGGGTGCTTCCTGGTACTTCCATTCTCTGTTATAGCTGTGAATGTTCATGTGCAGTCACTTCAGTCCAAGAAAGATACAGGTTTGGGCCCCTTTCATTGAAGGTTTGGATCACGCACAAGATAAGCCTTTCAGAAATTAGGGCGAAGGCAAATAGAATTCATAAGAAAAGGGAAGTGGATGGATGCCAGCTGCAGTGTGGAGATCAGCAGCTATAGTTTGTTTGACCCACTATTCTACCTCTTCTAAGTTTCTGTTTGGGAACACCAGTCCACAGAAGATTGAAGGATTGTTGTTGTTGTTGTTGTTGATGTTGTTGGGAGGCTTTTTGTTTTTATTTTTGTTTTTTTAAGCTACAGGAGTAGATCTGTGTGGCTCAGGAGGTGCCACAGATTGTGGCACAGTTCTAACAAAGTTTCTACATGATTGTACAAGTGGTTACTTTTTACACTGAGAAAGTCTTTGTCTAGTAAATCTAAAAAGAGAGACATACCTCTTAAGTTTTATCAACAAAAAAATACGAATAAAATGTCAAAATAAAAATAAGATATAAAGCCAAGCACTGTAGTACATGCCTGTAATCCCAGCTACTTGGGAGGCTGAGACAGAGTCCCAAATTCAAGGTCAGCCTGAAAAACTAAGTGAAACTCTGTCTCAAAAATAAAATGAAAAAGGTTGGGAGAGTAACTCAGGGGTAAAGTGCCTATGGGCTCAATCTCCAGTGCCACACACACACACACACCAAAAAAAAAAAAAAACAATTTAAAGAAAGGGCTATGGATGTAGGTCAGTAGAAGAGCACATGCCTAGCATGCATAAGGCCTTAGGCCTGATTTCCAAATCCTCAAAAAAAATAAATAAATAAAAAGAAAAAGGGAAAAAAGGACAAAAAGCAGGTACTATAAATATTAAACAGATTATGAATGACTTTGTGCTAATTTTTTTTATATACCAGGGATTGAACCCAGGGGCACTTAACCACTGAGCCACATCACCAGTCCTTTTTATTTTTTATTTTGAGGCAGGGTCTTGCTAAGTTGCTGAGGCTGGCCTGGAACTTGCAATTCTCCTATCTCAGCCTCCTGAGTCCCTGGAATTACAGGCGTGCAGCATCATGCCCAACTGTGCTAATATTTTTTTAAACTTTTGGTGAAATGTATAAATTCTTAGGAATAAACACAATCTGTTAAAGCTTTTTCATGAAGAAATGGAAAAGTCAGCATCTCTGTAACCATTAAGAAAACTGAAATACAAGTTAAAAATAGTCTTAAAGAAAATGTCAGGGCCGAGAGCCTTACAAGTGAGTTCTATCAAATATGAAAATAAGGGCTGGGGATGTGGCTCAAGTGGTAACGTGCTTGCCTGGCATGTGTGGGGTGCTGGGTTCGATCCTCAGCACCACACAAAAATAAAATAAAGACGTTGTGTCCACAGAAAACTGAAAAATAAATATTAAAAAACTCTCTCTCTCTCTTAAAAAAATGAAAATAACATAATTTCAATCACAGAAAATACAAAAAGAAGGAATACTCCCTCACTCCTTTCTGATAGCTAACATATAACCAGGATACCAAAATCGTGCAATAATAACTCACAAAATATTAAAAAACTAAAATCACTTATGTAAAAAAAAAAGATAAAAGGCACAAACAAAATGAGTTTATCCAAGGAAACCAAGATTGGTTAAATATTCCAAAAGCAATTAATCTTATTCACCTTATTCACCTCTTTAACTGATTAAAAGATAGATACTATTTGATCATATCATTAGATGTAAAAAAAAAAAAATCATTCAATAAAATTCCTGATCCCATCAAAAAATAAATAAATTCCCAATCCCTGCAAGAAAAGAAACCGGAAGTAGAAGGAAGGAATTCTTCTAATCTAGAAATGAGCATCTATCAACAACTAGACCTACCACGATGTTTTATTAAAGATTTATGGAAGGCGCTTTTTATAACAAGAAGTAGGTTAACTGCTGAAGGTCAAAAGCAACGACTGAAGTTAACAGCTCTTGGTATAGGAGATGTGAAATGAAATTTTTAGATTTTTTTTACCATTATTCCAGGAGGGAAAACCCTCACACCTGTGGGTGCCTGGCCAGTCAATTCATGGATGGTCGCCCTAGAGTGAGGTACCTCTTGTGAGTCAAAGCCCGGTCACAATTTGGGGGGAAGTCACAGAAGACATGGTCACCTATGACTGCTCCCTCTTGTGAATACAAGAACGTCCTTCAGAATGGATTCTATCCACAGTGGATTCTGAGGAAGAAATGAGCTCCTTTTCAGTGCAGTCAAACGATAAAGCTCATCACACAAGTAAGATGCACTGTACATATCCTACTTTCTTTTCCTTTATGCCTCTGTGCTCGAGTGTAAATCTGAAGGTGGCAAGTTCAGTACTAAAGAGCCTGAGTGCATGAATGTTATGATAGACTCAGAAATCTGTTTTTTTGAAAATTAGATTGCATTTACGCTGGATGATTTTGTTTTGTTTTGTTGTTGTTCTTGTTCATTCTCCTACTATCCTCCAGCTCAATAACTTCTAGCCTGTCACACACCATCCTAAGTTCTAGACGCAGGCAGCGGGATTCAGGTGGCGCGGCGCCCTCTGCCGGCCAGTAGAGGGCCTCCGGAGCTCGCCGGAGCTGACGACCGCGCCTAGCGGACTCTAGTCACCCCTCTTCTCCACTGAGCAGCTACTACTGGGGTTTGTTTCCATAGAGGAAACTGGTCTCCCTCCCAGGACTCGTCCCTAATCCTCTTCGCAGGAGCCCATGGGAGAGATAGAAGCAGTAGATCCTCGGAGCTCCCCGGGGGCGTGGGAGGGAGACTGGGGAGCGGGCGGGGCGGAGCCATGTGGAGCCCTTATTAGAGCAGCACAAGGACATAGCCCACCACAATCCCGGGATTGCTTAGCAGCTCGGTGCGAGCAAAGCTTTCTCAGAGTAGATCTCCGTTACACCGACTGCGTCCCCGCAACCCTCTATTCATGCATATCTTACCCTGCATCAAAAACCTAACAATGTCAGGGATGGGGGACCTGGGGTGGGGAGTAGCAACTGTGAGAGAAATGCAGAATCACGCATGAGCGTGCGGGAGCAATGAGGGATCCAACGTTCAAAGGGAAGAAGCCTTTACAGGAAAGACTGACAGGGCCTCAAAGATTTAAAGGTGTAAGCAGCAAGTCGCTTGGTTCCCATGTCAGATTTGGGAGGAGCCTAGCCATCCAGGTGAACAGGTACCCCCTGTCCACAGCCCACACGGATGGGCCTGGTGGAGTCCATCTTGCGGTAGTGGCAATGAGGGGGTCGGGTTCCTGGGGTGGCAAAGCAGTCAGTGACCCTGACATCATGAGTACTGTCATGGCAGTTGTGCATGGAAGGGATGTTCATACAGGACACTGGTGGAGTTTTGCAGAAATCTACAATGATGGCCAGATTCTCATGAATGAAAGTGTTGATCTGCTTGCATTTACCCTTATGGATCATCCAGAGGCGCCTCATCATCACATCACAGTATCGGCGGTTTCCTCCTGGGACCAACGACTTGGGATTGTCTATGTGTCGTTTTGAGAAGGACAGGGCTGGAGTGAAGACAGTTAAGTCCAGGAGAAGGAGGAGAGGGAGGAGGATCCACCTCAGATTCATGTTTTCTGGGAAAGCAGGTCACAGAAAGAGCAGGGTCAGGCAGCAAGCCTCTTTCCTTTCCCCAAAATACCTGTTTCTAAGAACTTTTGGCCTATCTTGATCCAGACATTTAAGGTTGGCAATTTTCCTCTTCTGCATCTATCTTCACTTTCCTTCTATGCACTCACCACAAATATTCCCACATCCTACTTCTATCTCATACTCTTACATTTCCCTGGGTAAGAGGTGAGAAGTGGAGTGATTCGTCATAAAGGAGTCCCTGCCATACAAGGTTATTTCCAAATCCTAAAGCAACTCTTGCTCCTTACCTAAGAAGACCAGTTAACCTAAAAACTTTCATCTCTCAAGTGTTTGCATCTAGCAGCCCATCTGCTGCTCAACACAGCCCCATGCGGTGAGGCAGGCATCATTGCCAACCTCTTTCTGCAATGACCTAACACAAGGAAACTGACAGCATATGTCTGCATCTTGGGAACTATTTCCGCGTCCTTAAATACATATGCCTGTTTTAAACACTGGTTTTTAAAATGTAAACATTTGAATTCTAAGGGGAGTTGAGTTTATATTTTCCCCACATATTTCTCTGCCTCAGAATAAAGACTCCCAAATCTTCCATATATAGGATCCATCATCAGGAAACTTCCCAATTTCTGGGACTCAGGGTTTCTGGGTGATGGGGTGTGTGAGCCTTCTGTCTCTGGGTCTAATATTCTGTCTCCTTTTTTGAATACCTGGGAGTCCCAGGGAAGCCTTTTCTGCAGAACAAGTGACATCCACAGAAAATGATATGTTCTTCTCAGAGGTGGATATTCCTAGGAAAGAGTAGAAACATCATTGCCTCTCTCCTTCCTCTAATCCTGTAGAAGTGACATTGTGGATATTTTCTTCCCAGACTTCTGGGTAAAGGCCATTGATCTAAAACAGATTGCCAAGTAGGTCTGATTTCTTGCTTACTATTTCACACCCAAAATGTTTACCAGCATCACACAGAGTGCCTATGACATCATTCAAACATGCAAAAACCTCTCGTTTAGTGCCTGTTTTTCAAAAGTTTGCTTTCAGTGCTGGACGTATCATTTCATCCCTCTTCTCCTCGTCTCTAAAGTGTGGGGATAGACTAACAATCTTTCATCTCTGACATTCTCTGCCTTGCAGCCCCTAATTATGCTTTATCTGTGTGTTTGAGCCCATATGTGATTTTGTGTGTGGTAATTAGTGCATACATGTTTAGATAGAAAGAAATATTTGGTTTGCTAATGAGGCTTTCATTTGATAATTGTTAATCCAATCAAGTCTGGATATTTTTTTTAAAAAGCAGTTGTTAGTGAATTTAGGTAAAAAAAATAATTACTTTTATATAAAGATTACATTTTTTTTTCTTCACCATCCAAAATTTAAGTGTTCCCAGCAGCTCAGGAGGCTGAGGCAGGAAGATCATGAGTTCAAAGTCAGCCTCAGCAAAAGCAAGGGGCTAAGCAACTCAGTGAGACCCTGTCTCCGAATAAAATACAAAATAGGGCTGGGGATGTGCCTCAGTGGTTGAGTGCCCCTGAGTTCAATCCCCTGCACCCTACCCCCCCACACACACACATACACAAAAGAGTGGTGCTGGAGCCATCAAAATACATGATCTCAAATTATATTGCAGAAATAAAGTAACAAAAGCAGTTTGATATTTGGATAAAAACAAGCATGAAAATCAATGGGAAAAAAGACACAGAGCCAGAACCACAAAGATACAGTTATCTGATCCTTGACAAAGTTGTCAAAAATATATGTCGATTCTTTTTGTTTCTTTAGTGGATTTTTTTTTAGTTGTAGATGGACACAATATCTTTATTTTATTTGTTTATTTTTATGTGGTGCTGGGTATTGAACCCAGTGCCTCATCCATGCTAAGCAAGCACTCTACCACTGAGCCACCACCCTAGCTGCATATGTTGATTATTGGTTTTACTTTTTGTGCTCTAGGAGCCTTGTTAAGGAGTCAGATCCTAAGCTGACATGGTGAAGATTTGGTGCTGCTTTTTCTTTTATTAGGTGTAGGGTCTCTGGTCTAGTGCCTATGTCTTTAATCCACTTTGAGTTGAGTTTTGTGCAGGGTAAGAGATAAGGGTTTAATTTCATTTTGTTACATGTGAATTGTCAGTTTTCCCAGTACCATTTATTGAATAGGCTATCTTTTCTTTTTTTTTTTTTTTTTTTTGTGAATAAATTTTTTTTTTTTTTTATTGTTGGCTGTTCAAAACATTACATAGTTCTTGATATATCATATTTCACAATTTGATTCAAGTGGGTTATGAGCTCCCATTTTTACCCCATATACAGATTGCAGAATCACATCAGTTACACATCCATTGATTTACAAATTGCCATACTAGTGTCTGTTGTATTCTGCTGTCTTTCCTATCCTCTACTATCCCCCCTCCCCTCCCCTCCCCTCCCCTCCCCTCCCCTCTTCTCTCTCTGCCCCCTTTACTGACATTTGTTTGTCCCCCTTGTATTATTTTTCCCCTTCCCCTCACTTCCTCTTGTATGTACTTTTGTATACCTCTGAGGGTCTCCTTCCATTTCCATGCATTTTCCCTTCTCTCTCCCTTTCCCTCCCACCTCTCATCCCTGTTTAATGTTAATCTTCTTCTCATGCTCTTCGACCCTACTCTGTTCTTAGCTACTCTCCTTATATCAAAGAAGACATTTGACATTTGTTTTTTAGGGATTGGCTAGCTTCACTTAGCATAATCTGCTCTAATGCCATCCATTTCCCTGTAAATTCTATGATTTTGTCATTTTTTAATGCAGAGTAATACTCCATTGTGTATAAATGCCACATTTTTTTTATCCATTCATCCATTGAAGGGCATCTAGGTTGGTTCCACAGTCTAGCTATTGTGAATTGTGCTGCTATGAACATCGATGTAGCAGTGTCCCTGTAGCATGCTCTTTTTAGGTCTTTAGGGAATAGACCGAGAAGGGGAATAGCTGGGTCAAATGGTGGCTCCATTCCCAGCTTTCCAAGAAATCTCCATACTGCTTTCCAAATTGGCTGCACCAATTTGCAGTCCCACCAGCAATGTACAAGTGTACCCTTTTCCCCACATCCTCGCCAGCACTTGTTGTTGTTTGACTTCATAATGGCTGCCAATCTAACTGGAGTGAGATGGTATCTTAGGGTGGTTTTGATTTGCATTTCTCTGACTGCTAGAGATGGTGAGCATTTTTTCATGTACTTGTTGATTGACTGTATGTCCTCCTCTGAGAAGTGTCTGTTCAGGTCCTTGGCCCATTTGTTGATTGGGTTGTTTGTTCTCTTATTGTCTAATTTTTTGAGCTCTTTGTATACTCTGGATATTAGGGCTCTATCTGAAGTGTGAGGAGTAAAGATTTGTTCCCAGGTTGTAGGCTCTCTATTTACCTCTCTTATTGTATCTTTTGCTGAGAAAAAACTTTTTAGTTTGAGTAAGTCCCATTTGTTGATTCTAGTTATTAACTTTTGTGCTATGGGTGTCCTATTGAGGAATTTGGAGCCCGACCCCACCGACTGTAGATCGTAGCCAACTTTCTCTTCTATCAGACGGCGCGTCTCTGATTTGATATCAAGCTCCTTGATCCATTTTGAATTAACTTTTGTGCATGGCGAGAGAAAGGGATTCAGTTTCATTTTGTTGCATATGGATTTCCAGTTTTCCCAGCACCATTTGTTGAAGATGCTATCCTTCCTCCATTGCATGCTTTTAGACCCTTTATCAAATATAAGATAGTTGTAGTTTTGTGGATTGGTTTCTGTGTCCTCTATTCTGTACCATTGGTCCACCCGCCTGTTTTGGTACCAGTACCATGCTGTTTTTGTTACTATTGCTCTGTAATATAGTTTGAAGTCTGGTATCGCTATACCGCCTGATTCACACTTCCTGCTTAGCATTGTTTTTGCTATTCTGGGTCTTTTATTTTTCCATATGAATTTCATGATTGCTTTCTCTATTTCTACAAGAAATGCCGTTGGGATTTTGATTGGCATTGCATTAAACCTATAGAGAACTTTTGGTAATATCGCCATTTTGATGATGTTAGTTCTGCCTATCCATGAACAGGGTATATTTTTCCATCTTCTAAGATCTTCTTCTATTTCTCTCTTTAGGGTTCTGTAGTTTTCATTGTATAAGTCTTTCACCTCTTTTGTTAGGTTGATTCCTAAGTATTTTATTTTTTTTGAAGATATTGTGAATGGAGTGGTTGTCCTCATTTCCATTTCAGAGGATTTGTCGCTGATATACAGGAATGCCTTTGATTTATGCGTGTTGATTTTATATCCTGCCACTTTGCTGAATTCATTTATTAGCTCTAATAGTTTCTTTGTAGACCCTTTTGGGTCTGCTAGGTATAGAATCATGTCATCTGCAAATAGTGATAATTTAAGTTCTTCTTTTCCTATTTTGATGCCTTTAATTTCTTTCGTCTGTCTAATTGCTCTGGCCAGTGTTTCGAGAACTATGTTGAACAGAAGTGGTGAGAGAGGGCATCCCTGTCTTGTTCCAGATTTTAGAGGGAATGCCTTCAATTTTTCTCCATTCAGAATGATGCTAGCCTGAGGCTTAGCATAGATTGCTTTTACAATATTGAGGTATGTTCCTGTTATCCCTAGTTTTTCTAGAGTTTTGAACATAAAGGGATGCTGTACTTTGTCGAATGCTTTTTCCGCATCTATCGAGATGATCATATGGTTCTTATTTTTAAGTCTATTGATGTGGTGAATAACATTTATTGATTTCCTTATATTGAACCAGCCTTGCATCCCAGGGATGAATCCTACTTGATCATGGTGCACAATTTTTTTGATGTGCCTTTGTATCCGAGTGGCCAGAATTTTATTGAGGATTTTTGCATCCAAGTTCATTAGAGATATTGGTCTGTAGTTTTCTTTCTTTGAAGTGTCTTTGTCTGGTTTAGGTATCAGGGTGATGTTGGCCTCGTAGAATGAATTTGGAAGTTCTCCCTCTTTT